TAGCTTCATCTTCACCTCTCCACAACCCCCTCCCCCCAATATGTGCTGAGTGGTCTAAACAACCTAAAGCTTCCTGACTCAAAGTTCTAGTTGCCACCTCTGGGGAACAACAATAGTGAGGGAGTTTTGCCTTCACAGAGTGTCAGCGCTGGTCATTAGATCTACCTTTCAGGCCAAGGAATGAATTTCCTCCATAGCATCTCTAATGAGTGTTCCTTCAGCCCCTGTTGAGGCCTGTCATCCATGAACCTTGCACCTGCTGTTCCCCCTGCCCACAGTACCTCCATTATGTCCTTCATCCTTGGCTAACTGTCCTTAACCTAGAGGACAGCTTCTTCCTGGCCCACAAGTCTTCTCCAACTCTCCTCTCCTCCTGTAGACTTGAGGGGCTTCCACTGTCCCCACACTGCCCCCCACACTGTCCCCAACAAGGTACAGTTGTCACTTACTTCACTCACCCAAGTGTGAGCTCTGTGAGGATGGCCACTGATTTATATATACACTGCTGGTGTCTAGCAGAGCGTCAACAGCACTGCACTAGATTTGGAATTGTCCTATATCTGCACTGTCCAATATGCTAGTCCGTAGCCCCATCAAGCTATTAAGTACCTGAAATGTGGCTAGTGTAATAAAAAAAAAAAAACTGGCTTTGAAATTTTATCTGTTTTAATTACTTTGAAGTGTTACATGAGGCTAGTAGTCAGAGTATTAGATAGTGTAAATGTCGCACATATAAATATTGATGGAATATTTCTGAAGAAAAAATGGGTGTGGGTGGAATGGGTGGTTAGCAGACACTTGAGATGCTGGTGGACTCCCACATCTCCCATTACACTGCCTGGGTTAGAGACCTGGCTCCACTCGTCACTCCAGCTTTATGTAAATGCACTCTGGGCTGTAGTGGTTGAGGCTGGAGTGATTGGATCCCTGCCACTCACGTGTGGGATCTGGCTTGTGTTCCAGGCTCCAGGCTTCCACAACAGTGGGGACTGGGAATAGGGCTGTGGCAAACATTTGCCTCTCAGATTAAAAAATTATTTATTTTTCACTGGAAAGGCAGATTTACAAAGAAAAGGAGAGACAGAAAGATCTCCCATCTGCTAGTTCACTCCCCAAATGGCTACAGAGCTGATCCGATCTGAAGCCAGGAGCCAAGAGGCTCCTCTGGGTCTGCCACAGGAATGCAGAGTCCCAAGGACCTGGGCCATCCTCCTCTGCTTCCCTAGGTCATACAAGCAGGGAGCTGGATGGGAAGTGGAGCAGCCAGGACATGAACTGGTGCCCATATGGGATGCATGCCCTTATAGGTGGAGAATTAGGCAGTTGAGCCATTGTGCTGACCCCCATTGCCTCTCAAATTAAAAAATAATAATAATAAAGGAAAGAAAAAATGAATAGAGTCATGGTCAGATGATTACAATAAAAGATAGAATACTTCAGGTGCAATTCATTCACTCAGTTTCACAGCACCTGTGCCTCCCACTCTGCCTTCTATAAATCTCATCCTTACCCTTAACTGTTGTATCTGACTCAGCTGTACTCTCTGTTAGCTGGTCCAGGCTGCTAACATCTCTTGGGAAGTGGGTTTGTGCTGAGAGCCCTTGTGGGGACAATATGGGCTCCTCTGGTTGGACTTAAGCTGGGCAGATTCTGTCCTTGGGGCCGGGCTTCATGGTGTGGGATGTGGATGGTCTGAGTAGGCTTGCTTGGACTGGCTGCCAAGTTCCTCTTCAGGGTGACAGTTGAAGCTGGCTGTGCTCTGAGAAAGTCCCAGGAAGAAAAGTCATTGCATTGTTGACAGTCATTACTACTGCTGGCAACCGCACAAACGCCTGACAGGTGACTTCCAGTTCTGACACTAGAGATGTTGGATGAAGGTGTGAGAAAAAGGGAGGATGAGGCATCAGGCCAGGCAGGGCAGAGCATGGCCAGGGCCCCATCAGTCAGCCAGATAAGGTTGAATCTGACAGGGGTAGAGTGAAGGAAGGCCAGGGAAGGATAGTACTTTCCAGAATGTTTTAAAAAGCCTAAGAAAGAAAAGAAAGAGCCTTTAAAAAAGCCATAAGCAGGTGAAAGGACAAGATGTACACATATCCCAGTTTTTCAAAAACTACTCTCCTGCCTGATTCTGATGGTAGGGCTAATGTATGCTTCACAATGCGTGTGCAGATCTGTAAATCCACAGGGGGCAGGTTTTCACACCATGTGAATTGAGTAAGGGGCTTTATCAAGGGGAGAACCCAGTGCTTGGCATGGCCAGGAATCTTCCTTAGTCACTGCGCCTGCAGCACTCCTCCCCGACACACTCCTGATTTGGTTTCTCTTGTGCAGCTTCGAGAGGCCTCGGGTCATCCTGTCTAGATCAGTGCCTGCACCTCACACCCTTTCCCATAACACTCCAGTCTTTCTTGCAGCTCTTATCACTCCTGACGTTGTATATTCAGTCATTTTATTTGTCCATGAAAATAGACTTTGTTCTTCTTGACTGTTGTAACCCATGGTGCCAGAACACTGGTAGGTGCCCAATAAATCTGTTAAGGACTAACATGTAACAAAGATGCCCATTCTTCCTCTTTTCCAGTTCAGAGGGTTCTGCCTACACCAGACTCATGGTGCAGGCTCAGCTCTGCTTGCTCCCTGCAAGGCTCCCCAAGTCCCCTCAGAGGGCTAAACAACCTCTATTCTGACATCAACCTCAAAAAGAAACATGTTCATTCGCTCCTCAGTGGCTAAGATTAGTCATGTATTTAAAAGGCCAACAGATGTAGCTCAGTGATCCATTGGCTTTTATAAATACATCTAAAACTGGGTGTCATCTCATCCTAGAAACCAGAGGGCATCCCAATGGGCTGAGCAGATGAGTTTGGCTTTAAGGCAGAAAAGAGTTGTGGAAAGTGTAAGGAAGGTTGTTTTAACTTCACTCTCCTTATGGGGTTAAAATAGAGGACTTCTTATCAAGCCAGCTAAATCTGGCTTGTTTGGGGATTTAGCTATTTCATGCTGCTCTCTCACTGGAGAACTCCAGCTAAAAGGCTCAGTACTGCCCTAAGGCAGTGCTTCTGGAAGTGCCAGAGGGTTCTTTCAGTCCTGCCAGGGTGAGTGAGGGAAAGCGAGACACCCCTGCTGCACACACAGACCCCCTCCCTGGCTAGCTCTGCACTACCCTGTGTGAGTGCGAGGCCTGCTGCTCTAACAGCCCCCCCCCCCCATTGAGGTTTCCTATCTCCTGTTTGTTTTGGTTTTGTCCCAAGCTTTAATAGTTCTTCAATCCTTAAGGAAAAAACAAAACAAAACAAAACACTCCAACTACAATCTCTAATTACTGAACTATATCTACCCCTACCCCAGAGGAGGTCATTGCTTTCCTGCTGGAATGCACTAGAAAACTATTTTCTCTTTAATGCTTCTGTTTACGTATTCAAAAGAGCAACAGAGAAAGAGAGACAAATTTCCATCTGCTGGTTCACTCCCCCCATGTCCACAATGTGGATGGCAGGAACCCAAGTATTTGGGCCATTTTCCACTGCCTCCCAGGATGTAGCAGCAGGGAGCTGTATTAGAAGTACAGAGTAGCTGGGATTCAGTATTCTGATACAGAATGTAGGGGTACCAAGCAGTGGCGTAATCCACGGTATGCTTCTCCCTACCCCATGTTAGAGGCGAGATATCTGAGATGCAGAAGGACTCAGCAGCCCAACACAGGTCCTTAGCTCTACGTGGTATAACGGGAAGGATCGCATGAGCTTCTTACGCAGTGTCTTCCCTCTAGTCATACAAAGCAATAGTTTACCTGAGGTGACATTTTGCCACCGAGTGATGACATTACTCAGCATACACTCTAGGGTAGCTCTGGGGGCTGTGGGCTACCCTTACCCCTCGGAGGCTGAAGCTGAAGGGGCAGAGAAGGAAAGGGATGCCATCCCTCTGTCTACAGCTTAGAGGAGCTTCAGGGCCAAAGTGCCTGAATCCCCTGGAATCACAGGCTGTAATGCTTTGCTTTCAGACTCTGGGTCCAGTTCCGTTTCAGAACATTCTCTCAGAACATTTTCCAACACTCAAGGCCTGGGCCCTTCTGCTTTTGGCTGAGTTTTCTGCTCAATTCTGTGCCAGAGCTACAGGTTGGAGAGCGGTGGGCATCTCCCAGGCCCAGCTGGCTAGGACTGGCTGCCCAGAAGTCTGGGCTCAGCCTGGTACAGGGACTTCTGGTGGGAAAAACCCTGGAACAGCTCGGTTATAGCTTAGCACTTGGGGAAGCAGGACATACGTACATATTCTATTTTTCTTCAAAATAAACATATATCACTTTTTATGGATAGCACTATCTTTTTAATCCAAATATTCAAATTTCAACAATCTTGATGCAAATCCTTTTGGACCAGTAGGCTCACGCAGATGTTTCTCATTGACTCCCATATGCAGTTAAAAATGTTTTATCATGGTAAACTTAGTCCAACTGCTTGGATCTGAATGTCATCACTACCGGTTAGTAACGGTGACCTTGGCAAATCATTTCTGTAAAAACGAGACTCCACCTCGCCTACTCCTCAGCCCAACCCTGTGGGGTGCACACACTCATCTCCCAAGGGAGCAGCTAGCTGAAAGGGATTGAACTCAGACAGCCTGTGTTAACCTTGAGGGACTGGTCGGAGCAGCCTGTTAAAAAGGGCTGCTGTGAAAATGCCTGCAAGCGCTTAGCCAAAGTTTGACTTTTAATAAGTTAAGTGCTTAATAAAGTTTCCTGCGGTTGCAGTATTTGATGTTTTGTGTTTGTTATAAAACAAAGAAGAGGGCCATGGGGTTTAACTCATTAAAGAGTCCAAGAGACTGATGAAGCTGACAGGATCACGGCGGCTCCGGGCCGGGGTGCGGGGCTGGGTGCGGGCCAGTGAGGTGCTAGGGCGCGCGCTGGCGCACCCGGCGGGGCCCAGGGGCGGGGTCAAGGAAGCCCCGCCCAGTAGCCACCTGCGACAGGTGGAGCGAGCAGCGCCCGGGTCTCAGCCATGTCCGCGGAGGGTGCGGGGCTGCCGCTGGAGCCGGAGCCTGGGCCGGGACCGGGGTCGGAACCAGGACCCGGGCCTGGGTCTGAGCCTGGACCGCTCTGCCCCCAGCACGGGCAGCCTCTGAGCTGGTTCTGCAGCTCCGAGCGGCGGCCGGTGTGCGCCGCCTGCGCGGGGTTGGGCGGCCGCTGCCAGGGACACCGCATCCGTCCAGCCGAGGAGCGCGCGGAGGAGCTGCGGGTGAGCGGGCGCGGGTGTGGGAAGAAAGACTAGTGGCTTGGAACCGAGGGGCGCGCCAGGCAGCCTGGGGAGGGGTGATTGGCAGGGACATTGGGAAGCTGGTGTCGGCTCCTCAGTGGCCTTGGCCGGAGAACCAGACGGTTGAGGGTGTGGCCTCTGGAGTTAGACCGATCCTGAGTTCGAATCCCTCTTCCTTCTAGCTTCCTCGCGAGGCACGAGGCACGTGACTCATTGGTTTCAGTGTTTGGGGATATTAATAATAGCAGCACTTATCTTGTTAGACTTGTAAGATAATGGGCAAAATGCGGTTTAACCCGTAGTGGTCCAGAGGATTCCTGCTGTGGCTCCGAGTGTGGGAGCTGAGCCTGGCCTGGGGCAGTAACCAATTGAGTTGCTCCAGGTCCGCCAGACATGCCCTCACGGTCTCCCCAACAGGACCCTCCTCACTCCTCAACCCCGCAGCCCAGGCTTCCAGGCAAGGTGATGGATCTTTTTCATCCTTTTTGCTTTCGGCTTTGGCCATGACCATGCTCCAGGCTGGACCTGTGGAGGGGGAGCAGAGTCCAGGTCAGCCTGGTGCTTTCTCTTGCAATGCCCTTCCCCTCCCCCGGATTTCCTTGGCATTTGCTAAAAAGGGCTTCTTTTTATCAACCATACCCCAGAGTCGAATCCTGTTGTGTGCCTGGGGGCCCCTCGCCCCCAAGGGGGCCTGGAGGGATTCAGACAGGACTGCAGTAAACACCACCTTAGATGGGGTGCTGGAGTTAGGAGGGACTCAGTTATCAGCGAACGTAAAGCTCCAGCTTGGTCCTACCTGTCATTAGTACTATCAATAACAGTCATTATAAACACCAGCCTGTGTAGGGTGGTGTAATCAGCTTGCATAAGGGGCAGAAACTTGGCAAATCCCAAAGCCTTTGAAGTAGATCTTGTCTGTGTCATTTTATGGACCAGGAAACCGAGGCTCAGGATGGGAGACAGGCAGTGACTCCGCCAGGATTTCTAGTGTTCAGGCGGCAGAGTTGTTGCCTGAGTAAGAGAAAGCTGCCCTCTTTGCTTCCGTGGTTGGAGGGAGGAAGCATTGGAGTTGGGATTGGGAGTTTCCTGAACGCTGCCGCCGTGGAGCTAGGTCTGGGCGGTGCAGCGTGTCGGTCCTGATGGTTGTTCTGGAATGTATTCCCAGGAGGCTGCCTTAAGTCCCCACAGAGGCCCAAAGCATGTTATCTCCTGGGCTGCAAGGGAGCTGAGGACTACCCCTCTCTGGTTTACATTAGATCATATCTTCTGCATTCTTCTTCTTCCTTGTACCTCCAGCCAAAAAAAGATAGTTCGCCCCAGGGCAAGAGCTTTATGGACCCAGACCAAAACAGCGCCAGTTCCACTGCTTAGCTAACCTTCTGGATGCTTGCCGTATGGTCTTGCAGAGAATGGTCTCGGCTCGATCGCTCAGTTTTTTTTTTTTTAAGATTTATTTATTTTTATTGCAAAGTCAGATATACAGAGAGGGGGAGAGACAGAGAGGAAGATTTTCCATTTGCTGGTTCACTCCCCAAGTGGCTATAATGGCCAGTGCTGAGCTGAACCGAAGCTAGGAGCCAGGAGTATCCTCTGGAGGCCCATGTGAGCACAGGGTCCCAAGGCTTTGGGCTGTCCTCTACTGCTTTCCCAGGCCACAAGCAGGGAGCTGGACAGGAAACAGGGCTGCCAGGATCAGAGCGAGCACCCATATGGGATCCTGGTGCTTGCAAGGGCAGGACTTTAACCACTAGGCTAGTGCGCTGGGCCCTTGGTCTCAGTTATATGGTGTGTGTTGATTCCAGCTTCCATTCAACTCTGTGACTTTGTGTTTGAACCTGTGATGTGGAAGACGAAGGGGAAGGGGAGTGTTTAGGGAGATTTCCTGGAAGAGGTAGCTGAGGTGCCTTTTGGCAGATGGAACTGAGGCAGATCTCTCAGGGGCAATCGTGGTGGGGCTGCTGCTCGGCAGGACTTGGAATGGGAAAACAGGGGCCTTGTCATACTCCCAGAGAAGTCATTTCTGCTTGGGCCTCAGCCTTCCCATTGCTGAAACTTCTGTGTGATTGTGTGTGACGCCAGCTGCTCTGAAAACTGCTGAACGTCTTAGGGCCATGGTGGTGACTGCTCATTCATTCAACAAATATTTGTTCAGGGCCTTCTATGTGCAGGAGCACTCTTCTAGGCAGAAGGCCACAGTGAACAAATCAAAGTCACAGTGTCCCGGCTGGTGGGGAGACAGAGACACAAGTCAGTGAACAAACATAATGGGTAGTTAGAAGTACCAGGGAGGAAGAATAAAGTGAGCAAAAGATCAAGGGCTGAGGAAGGTTAGGAAAAGCCTCTCAGAAGGGGAGAATATCTGATTACAGTGAAGGGGCCACAGAGAGAGAGAGAGACAGAAGGCACAGCAGAGGCAAAGCTTGGGTCAGGAAAAGTCTGGTGTATTTAAGAAACTGGAACAATGTGCCGGTGCGGTGTCCTAGCAGCTTAAGTTCTCACCTGGAATGCGCTGGGATCCCATATAGGCGCAGTTCATGTCCTGGCAGCCCCGCTTCCCATCCAGCTCCCTGCTTGTGGCCTGGGAAAGCAGTGGAGGACGGCCCAAAGCCTTGGGACCCTGCACCTGCATGGGAGACCTGGAAGAGGCTCCTGGTTCCCTGCTTCGGATCGGCGCAGCACTAGCTGTTGCGGCCACTTGGGGAGTGAATCATCAGGTGGATGATCTTCCTCTCTGTCTGTCCTCCTTCCTCTCTGTATATCTGACTTTGCAATAAAAAGAAATACATATTAAAAAAAAAAAAGGAAAAGAAAAAAGGTCAGTATGGAGAGACATTGTATAAGCAGGCAGAGTGGGACCCTGTTGCTTTGAGTAAAAATCTGATCTCCCTGCGAGTGTGTTGGGAGCCTTTGGGGGGGGGGTGAGAGCGGGTGGGGGGGAGAGAGGGAGAGAGAGAGAGAAACTTTGGAGATAGCACTGATAGGTCTTGCTGATGGGTGAGGTTGGAGAGACTCTGACGTTTGGCACTGGGTAACAGGTTGATGATTGATGATGCTGTGTCATGAACTGGGAGAACTGTTTGGAAGGTCCTTCTGCTCCTGTGTGGGTGTGGAGAGTTAGGGAGCTGGAGATGAGGGAAGGTTGGAAGTGTATGCAAGGAAGTAGTTAGATTGATGGCCCTGGCAATCTCGGGATGAGGAAGGAAGTGAGAGGGCCTGGCGTAATGGCTCAGTGGCTAAATCCTCACCTTGCATGCGCTGGGATTCTACCTGGGAGACCCAGAAGAAGCTCCTGGCTCCTGGCTTCAAATTGGCCCTTTCTGGCCATTGCAGCTCCTTGGGGAGTAAACCAGCAGATGGAAAATCTTTGTCTCTCCTTCTCTGTGTAAATTTGCCCTTTCAAAAAAAGAAAGAGATCTTTAAAAAAATAAAAAAGGAAGGAAGGAAGTGAGGGCACAAAAGGGGGGAATGCTGGACAGCTCAGTGTTGGTGACCCCAGCTGAGCTGAAGCGTGGTTGCAGTGGGAATCCTAGAGACACTGAGCTGCAAGGGCATGCAGTTCTTGACATGAAGAGTTGGGAGGTAGGTTTGTTTCTGAGAGTGGTGAGCTCTGGGAGGTGGCTCTGGGAATGGCCGCCTCAGGTGGGGTAAAAGGAAAGAAGCATTGGACTGGAGGGATGGCAATTCACATGGACCAAGATGCGTGTTATTTGTGTTGCAGAACAAGATCGTGGACCAGTGCGAGAGGCTGCAGTTACAGAGTGCCAGCATAACCAAGTATGTGGCCGAGGTCCTGCCGGGGAAGAACCAGAGAGCAGTGGTAATTCCTCTCCTCTCCCCTTCCCTCTCCTGTGGGTTTCCTCCCTTGATATGATCCCAGCCTCAGGAGCTGGAACAAATCAGGCTCCCTTCTCAACCTCACAGACTTCTTGGGCTACCAGCAAGCCTAGTGTCCAGGAAGGACGGTTTCCCATCTCGCCAAGTATCCATTTTACCTTCTGGGCTTGTTCCTAGTATTGAACCGGGTCCAGAAAAAGATTCTTCCAGGAAGTGACTTTCTTGGGTAGTTTGGATTAAGAAGGGTAACAGACTTCTGGCACCATCTCACTATTTTGTGCTTTATGGCAAGCCCCTGCCATAAGTGGCAGTAACAGTCCTGTTTACAGATGGGAAAATGGGTCCTGGGGAGATGAGTTGAGTCCCCTCGGCCTCCTGACAAAGTCAGTTCTATGACCTGGAGCTTCTGGCAGCTTCTTGCTGCATCCCACTCTGATCTTTATTCCATGGACTCATTACCACTGCTTGCCCTCGTTTAGAAAAAACTATTTATTTTTATTGGAAAGGCAGATTTGCAGAGAGAAAAGAGACAGAAATCTGCTGATTCACTCCCCAAGTGGCCACAATGGGTGGAGCTGAGCTGATCTGAAGCCAGGAGCCAGGAGCTTCTTCTATGTCTCCCACATGAGTACAGGGTCCCAAGGCTTTAGGCCATCCTCAACTACTTTCCCAGGCCACAAGCAGGGAGCTGGAAGGGAGGAAGAGCAGCTGGGATATGAACCAGCACCCCTATGGGATCCTGGTGCATGCAAAGGCAAGGACTTTAGCCACTAGGCTATAGCGCCCAGGCTCATCAGCTACCTTTTTTTTTTTAAACAAGGCCTTCTTGAGCACCTATCATGAGCTGGGCACTGTTGCCCAAACACATGAAGATTCTTGTTTTTTTTTTTCTTTTTTTTTTTTTTTAAGATTTATTTATTTTTATTACAAAGTCAGATATACAGAGAGGAGGAGAGACTGAGAGGAAGATCTTCCAAACGATGATTCACTCCCCAAGTGAGCTCAACGGCGCTGATCTGAAGCAGGGAACCAGGAACTTCTTCCGGGTCTCCCATGTGGGTGCAGGGTCCCAAGGCTTTGGGCCATCCTCGACTGCTTTCCCAGGCCACGAGCAGGGAGCTGGATGGGAAGTGGAGCTGCCGGGATTAGAACCAGCGCGCATATGGGATCCTGGCGTGTTCAAGGCGAGGACCTTAGCCACCGGCCCCTATTGTATTCTTGTATTCTTATCAGGGAAGAGAGATCATAATAAATAAACCATATGCAGTGTCAGAGGGGAGGATGATACCTACTAGGGGATAGGATAAAACAGGAAGGGCAATTGGACATGTTGAGCACTGCGGTTGCACTTACATGCCTGTAGTCAGGAATGACCTCATCAATGTTGATTTCTGCACAGAGAGCTAGGAGATGAGGGAATGGACCACCCATGTAGGGGAAGAATGTTCCAGAAAAAAGAAATGGCAAGCGTAGGAGCCCTAAGGTTAGGAGTGGAACTGGCATGTTGAAGGAGCAGCCAGGAGGTCTGTGAGGTGAACACAGACCGCTGGGAAGACAGTAAGAGAGCAGAGAGCTGGGTTGTGGACACATTGGCCACAAAGGATCTGGCCTTTTCTTCGGGGTTTGAAAGAAAGCTGCTGGAAATGTCTAAACAGAGTGAGATGCAGTGCTGACAACTGCCACAGGCTTCAGAGGTGAAGGCGGCAAGCCAGTTAGGAAGCCACTTATAAGAATCCCAGTGGGAGATGAGCATGGTTTGGACCCAAGTGAGTTCATCAATCATTGACTTCCCTACTCACTCCTTTTTTAACTTTTTAAAGATTTTACTTTTTTTTTTTTTTTTTTTTTTTTTACTGGGAAGTCAGAATTACAGAGAGAACGATCTTCCGTTTGCTGGCTCACTCCTCAGATAAATTGGTTGCAACAGCTGGAGCTAAGCTGATCTGAAGCCAGGAACCTCCTCGGGGTCTCCCACATGGTGCAGGATTCCAAGGCTTTGGGCTGTCCTCCACTGCTTTCCCAGGCCACAAGCAGGGAGCTGGAAGAGAAGTAGAGCAGCCGGGACACGAATTGGCACCCATATGGGATCCTGGCATGTGCCAGGAGAGGACATTAGGCAGAAGGCTACTGCGCCAAGGCCTCTGCTCAGTCGCTTCCCTAGGGCACACTATCCCCATTTCTTCTGTAAAGCAGTGAGCACTGTCTCCTGAGCTGTGTCAAGCAGTCCTAAGGGACAGGACACAGGGAGCATGGCTGTCCATCCTTGATTCGCTGACATGAGGAAAGCAGTTTTAGCCTGTCCTGTTTGCCACAAGTGCAAGTACAGATGCCTTACAGATATCTATGGGATGATCATTAGTAGCTGGCATCTGAGGTAGTAGAATAGTGCTGGGTGGAAAGGCAAGAATTGGGTTCTAGTCCCAGCTCTGGCACTGGCTTGCCATGTGAGCACTACCAAATGATTTTTCACTGGGTCAAAAAAAATTTTTTTTTTTTTTTTGTTACAGAATTTTCATACGTATTGGCTGAGAATTGATTCTATATCTCTCCTGTTCCCACCATGGAACTCTTTTTAAAAAGATTTACTTTTTTTTTTATTTATTGGAAAGACAGAGTTACAGAAAAAGGAGAAGAGACAGGGAGAAAGAGGATCTTTCATCCACTAGCTCGCTCCCCAAAAGGCCAAGGTGGGCTGGGCCGTGCCAGGCTGAAGCCAGGAACCCAGAGCTTCTTCCGTGTCTCCTATGTGAGTACCAGGGCCCAAACATTTGGGCCAACTTCCATTGCTTCTCTGGGCACATTATCAGGGAGCTGGATCAAAAGTGGAGCAGCTAGAAATCCAACTGGAACCTTTGGAGAACATTGGTGTCACAGGCAGGTGGAAGTTTAATGGAATGATGCCACAACACCAGCCCCAGTGGAACCCTTTTGAATGAACAATGTTAGAAATCATTTTTGGGGGGCCGGCGGGCAGTGGGGAGATTCAATGGTTCAGTGGCTAAATCTTTGCATTGCAAGTGCCAGGATCCCATATGGATGTCAGTGTCTTTGCTGCCCCACTTCCCATCAACCTCCCTGCTTGTGGCATGGGAAGGCAATAGAGGATGGTTCAAAGCCTTGGGACCCTGAAACTGTGTGGGAGACCCAGAAGAAGTTCCTGGCTCTGGCTTCAGATCAGCTCAGCTCTAGCTGTTGTAGCTACTTGGGGAATGAACCAGCAGATGGAAGATCTTTCTCTCTGTTTCCCCTCTCTGTTAATCTGCCTTTCTAATATAAATAAATAAATCTCTTTTTTTTTAAAAAAAAGAGTGAATGAGTTTTGGGTTCCTATACATGGTGAAATATCAATTGGACCACTCTTGGCACAGTTCCAGTAGATGGGGATGAGTTTTTAGGATTTTCTGCCCCACAATTCTGTGACTCTTTGATTGTGGTCCATTGGTCTTGGTTCTTCCAAAGGTGAAATAAGCAGGTGATTCTAGTGATTCACTAAGCCCTTCCCAGCCCTTCCGTTCTGTTACTAAGCTCTGTGAGATACCACCTGGCATCTAGATCTCAGACGTTTTTAAACCTACATCATGTGTGGGAATACCTTAGGACTGGGATGTTCAAGAATGGCTTAAGTTCTGTAACTTCCCTGACTGTACCCATGGTAGACATTGCTAATAGATTTCAGAACACCTTCCCACTGATTGCAAATCCTCCTGATGTTAGCTGTGGCTTTAGCAGGCCTCAGCTTTTCATTTTATCCCTTGTCAGAGCATGGCCAGTGCTGCGAGGGAAGTGGTTATCCAGCGGTTGAGTCTGGTGCGGAGTCTGTGCGAGAGTGAGGAGCAGCGATTGCTGGAACAGGTGCATGGTGAAGAGGAGCGAGCCCACCAGAGCATCCTGACGCAGCGAGTTCACTGGACCGAGGCTCTGCAGAAGCTTGACTCTATCCGCACCAGCCTGGTGGGCATGCTCACTCATCTGGATGACCTCCAGCTGATCGTAAGTCAGACACGGGTGAGGGCTGGCCCAGCTAGCCAGCTGCCTCCATAAAAGTTTGAAAATGTTGACATGTTTGTGGTAGGAGAAAGAACCAAAGAGGCATTTGATGCCTTTTTTTTGGACACAGTGACAAAAATTCTCTATTTGCCCAAACTTGAGTTGAACCTTCTCTTGAGACCAAACCATCTGTGCACTTCTTTGCCAAATCTAATTTTAGCAGAGTCCTCTGCTAAATTCTCTAGCCAGAACCCCTAGCTTCAGGATCTAATCTCTTTCTTATCTGCTCAGCTTCCTCATCCTCTCAAGCCCCAGGACATGGCTGAGCTCGTCAGTCTGTCTTCAGCAAGATTCCTGCTGGGTCACTTTAGCCAGAGTCTCCTTTCCCCTGATATTTCCTCTGAGTAATTTCCATCTACTGCCACCTTCTCCCCGCTACCACCTGCTCTTCGGGTATTCATTTCCTTTTGTCCATTCTGTTTTCAGATTTGAACTCAAATCCCTATATAGATGCAAGGCCCTGTCTCAGTGGTTTTTGTACCTGTCATGATGGTGTTCAACAAAATTTCCTTACCATGCTTTCATAGCTATCAAACAATTTCTTCTATAACACAGTGCAGGGAAGTAAGAGATCTGTGATCTTTTGGGGACCCAATGACAGTATTCTTGCAACAGCGAGCAGATGCATGTCTCATATCTAAAGTCTTCCAGATGTAGGGAGTGGGGAATCAGGAGAGCTTCTTGGATGAAGTCATGTAGAAACTGATACCAAAAGATAAGAATAGTTGTGTACAGGGAAGTGGGGAGGCGGAATGAGTTCAGGAGGAGGCAGACAGGAGCATACCCAGGGCTGCTGGCGATGTCTCCAGTGTGACAACATAGAGCTCATCCTTAATCCTGCCAGCCAGCAATGCCCAGTACATAGCCTTCCAGGGTCTTCCAAATGGGCAGGTATGTCCAGTTTTGATTGGACAGTAAAGAGCCAAGCAGAGGTACACAAGCATGGAATAACCAAGCCATCCCACTGTGTTTTCAAGTCGGGCTGTTTCCATGAGTGCCCTAGATTGTACATCCATTTCATCATCCAGCTTTGGCGTACAGAGTGCATCCTGTCCCCAACACTGGGGTGGTCCCAGTGGAAGACAGAAAGAGCCTCCACCATTCGGGAGCTGGCAGACTTTGGGGTGGGGAAACTTTAGGCACACAAGGGTCAACTCTGAAGTGGGGATAAGGGGAACCCTGGAGGCCAGGACTTATTCTGAATATGTTACAGGTTGTGTGTGTGTGTATAAAGAAAGAGCCACAAGCTTTAAGCTGACACTTAAAGAAGAGAAGTTTTCGCTCTAGATCTGTGTCCGCATGAAGCCTTCGACACTTTATAAATCGTGCCTATCTGTTGGGGTTCTGATGTTAAAACTGACTTTATTCTCTTTTCTTCCAGGAGAAGGAGCAGGACATTTTTGAGAGGTGAGTACAGCCCCCTCTTGAAAAGCGACTTGCTTGGGCAGTCACAGGGTCACCTGGCCTCCACCCAGTTTACCCAGGCCTCGCTGCTTCTGGGAGGAATCTCAGGGCATGCAGCTGTGTGGCTTCTCCGAGCCCAGTCCAGTGAATGGGGCCTTCCTGGCTTGGAGAACTGTGTCAGACCTGCATGAAGGTTAGGGGAAATAAACATTCACAGAGGCTTGCCACAGACTTTCTGAAACGTCATCCTATTCAAAGATGTAGTTACCTTGTCTGAGGGTTTTCTCAGTCCCAACTATAGGGGAGAATGTTGAATATTGAGGCTCAAAGAGGGGAGGGGACTTTATGTAAGCCCTGATCCATCTGACAACCATCCCAGTACTATCTCCTAAACATCACATCCTGCTGTCTGATGGAATCCTCTTTGAATTTAAGTCTCTATGACTAAATTTTTTATTAGAAATTTATTTTTGGGCCTGGTGTGATGGCTCAGTAGCTAAGTCCTTACCTTGCAAGCGTTGGGATCCCATATGAATGCCAGTTCGTGTCTTGGCTGCTGCTCTTCCCATCTAGCTCCCTGCTAGTGGTCTGGGAGAGCAGTAGAGGATGGCTCAAAGTCTTAGGACCCTGTATCCTCCAAATGTCTGCAACAGCTAGAGTCAGGCCATGTTGAAGCCAGGAACTCAGTTTGGGTCTCATGTAGCTAGCAGGGACTTAATTTCTTGAGCCATCACTTGTTGCCTCCCAGGGTACACATTAGCAGGAAGCTCAATCAGAAGCTAGGACTTGAACCCCAGGCACAGAGATAGAGAATACAGGTACTCCAAGTGATTCCTGGCCAAAATTTCTACTTTAATTATTCAATAATAAAAGAATTTCACCAGTTTCTACTTGGGTTCTGAAAGGCTGAGAACAAGGGCCTAAGGAAATAGCCAAGAGGGTGCGATTTCCCAGGCGAAGGAGTTAGCTTCTCAAAGCTTCTGTGAGAGATTTCAGAGCTGTACTCAGGGGACATGATTTATTCTTATTTATTTATTTTATGTAGTATTTATATCTCAGTAACAGTACATGTGCATGGGAAAGTATAAAACTATTTTTAATGAGAAATGAGTCTCTTTCCTTCATCCATAAAGCCATTTTATAGATGACTGGCTTTAATAAACATGTATTTTTTTTTAAGATTTATTTTTATTATTTTTTTATTGGAAAGGCGGATATACAGAGAGGAGAGACAGAGAGGAAGATCTTCCGTCCGATGATTCACTCCCCAAGTGAGCGCAACGGGCCGATACTATGCCAATCCGAAGCCAGGAGCCTCTTCCGGGTCTCCCATGCGGGTGCAGGTTCCCAAAGCTTTGGGCCGTCCTCGACTGCTTTCCCAGGCCACAGGCAGGGAGCTGGAAGGGAAGCGGGGCTGCCGGGATTAGAACCGGCGCCCATATGGGATCCCGGGCATGCAAGGCGAGGACCTTTAACCACTTGCGCCACCGCGCCGGGCCCAATAAACATGTATTTTGCGGACTTTCCTATTTATTATTCATTGGAGGGTGTGTAGAATTTTGTCTCTTTAAAACTGTTTTCAAAAGGTGGGCATTGTGGCACAGTGATTAAGTAGCCACTTGGGAAACCCTCCTCGCACGTGGAGTGGCTGTTGAGAATCCCAGCTCCTCCACTTCCAATCGAGCTTCATGCTAAGACATCCCAGGAGGTGGCAGATTACAGCTCAGGTACTTGGGTCCCTGCTGCCCACAAGGGAGACCTGATGGAAGTTCAAGGCCCTGGTTGCAGCCTGGTGTAGTCCCAGTCCCTCTGTTACCAGCATTTGGTGAGTGAATCACCACATGGAAGATCTGTGCATGTGTGTGTGAAAGAGAGATTCTGCCTTTCAAATAAATTGAACAATTTTTTTTAACACAGATGAGGTAGTTTTACACCTGTTGGTTTGTAGATTTGTATGCTTTCTTGGACATCTTTTGGTTTCCCTCCCCTGCCAAGGATTTGTGAACCGGTCCACAGTGTGGGTGTGTCCACACCGATTGCATTATCCACTGCTAAGACCAGGTTGGCTCGCTCCCGATTCCTTCCACGAAGATCCTTCCCTGTTTCTGCACACCTGCTCTTGGCCTCTTGGCTTCATCATCTTCCTCTAGCACAGTCCCTCTTAAATATCAAGTTGAGCTGATTGTCTTTTTTAAAGCTGCTCTTTAATTTTTTAATTTTAAAATATTTCAAATATATAGAAAAATTCCAATGAGAATGTAATGAGCTTTAAGTTGAAATAGAATAGAATATTTGTTGATATTTTCCCACAATCCCTTTGGTGTATATTCTCTGTCTAGTGTATATGTACTCTCTTTCTCTAGTACGTATAAGACAAGACCTTATTTTTTCTGGCCAATTTGAAGATAATTTGCACAAAGCAGGAAATAATATCTATAAATACTTTAGCTTGTATTTCCTAAGAGCAAAGACCTACTCTGATGTCAATGGAGCATATAATTCATGAAAAAAAAATTTAAAAGACTTATTTATTTTTATTGGAAAGTCAGATTTACAGAGAGAAGGAGAGACAGGGAGAAAGATCTTCCATCTGCTGGTTCACTTCCCAAGTGGCTGCGACAGCTGGAGCTGAGCTGATCTGAAGCCAGGAACCAGGAGCTTCTTCCAGGTCTCCCTCACAGGTTCAGGGTCCCAAGGCTTTGGGCTATTCTCTACTGTTTTAACAGGTGGCTATAAGCTCATGATTGGATTCAGGGTAGATATTTTTGGTAAGAATACCTCATAAATGATATTTCCTGTTTACCCTATTTGGGGGCCCTGGAGGCCCAGGATATCACTTCTAGGCCCTCATGGATGTTAATTTTGATTACACAAATAAGGTAGTGGTTACCAGATTTCTTCACTATCAAGTTATAGTTCCCTTCTGACAAGGAATGAACAATTTGTGAGCAGATACTTGTGGGCATATATTCCTGTTCTCCTTTAAACTTTCACCCAATAGTTTAGCATCCATTCATAATTCCTACCTGACTTATTCATTTGTTTATTTGCTTGCTTGTCCATTCATTTATGTGATGTTAACACAGACTTGCAAGTTCTTATTTTATTCAGTGCATTATGAACTGTCACTGCTATTTTTTGTCCATACTACCCAAGATTTGGCCAGCCCCCTTCCAGCTGCATCATTTTCTTTTTGGCGGGTCCCCATCATTCTTTGGGCATTTGTGTGTTCTCCAGCACAAGAAGATATTCCATGCCCCATTTATTCCGTTTATTCTTTTACTGCCCCGTCCCTGGAATCAGCTGTTTCTTTGGAGGTCTTGGTTCCTCTAATGGAGAATGATGTGTGGACACCAAGACCTGGGTATTGTAAATGTTCAATATCAGTATTGCTACCGATGTGCCTTGCTTTCAGACCTTTTTGGTGGACGGCAATCCATACTAGGAAGGATATCTGTGTGTGCAACCTGCTTATACACAAGCTTGCATCACAACTTTAACATTCCCATCAAACACCAAAGGGCCTTCCCTTTGCTTTCTCCCATTCAATACTTGACATTTTCTTCTTTTACAATGATAACCCAGCATTACTACATCATTCATTTGCTCCATCCAAAAATCCTTACAGTGTTGTCTGACAACTGCCAAGTCCTTTACCAGTCTCAACAAAACCATGAGTAGAGTTCAAGTCTATAGTTCTTTGTGCCCGTGGCTGTGTTCAGAAGTTGTCAAGCCCCTTCTGGCTGGAAGCTCACTTGTCAACCTGAGAAATGCCTTTGTTGGCTCTGGTGTTGTGTCCACATCTCCAGCTGGGCTCAGCTCTGGCGTCCGAAGCATCCTGCTGCAGACGGGAGCATCCTGATCCCAGCCGGGCCCTGCTGTGTGCAAGCCCCACCTCACTCCACTCCTTCAGAGTCCAGTTTCCTCTTCTGCAGCCTAGGGTAGTCAGATCAGCTGGTTCTTGGAGAGTCTGGTGTCTGAACTAAGTCTTGAATGTGCCCTGGATGAACACTTGGCACTGTTGCCAGTAGCTCCTCTTTCCTTCTGACCTTTTGGCTGGGGCCTCGCAGGCCTCTCTGCTTAGAGAAGATCCTAACAGACTCTTTCCTGTCCTAATCATAAAGTACCTTTTGTTCCTGGGCCTGATCATGGCTTTGTTCACCTCATTCTGCCTTCCCAAGCTGGGACAGTTGGTGTCAGTCTTGCAAAGAACTTGCATGCATCAGGGGACATGCCCCACCTACCCTCTGCCCTCCCATTCATTTGCCAACAGTCATGAGATTGGGAGAGTGTATTGAACTACTGCATGATCTCAAAGCTGCTTTTGGGCTTAGAAATGGGGAGAAGGTTCTTTACCAGTTCCTATGTCAGTGGGCTGACTGGTTCTATGACGAAGTGGGCATGTGGCATGGTAGTTAGGACATCACATGAGCTGTTTGCATCTCCTAACAGACTGCCTAGCCTCAAGTCCTGGCCTCACTTCCCATTATGACTTCCTGCTAATGCACACTTTGGGAAGCAATGGTGGTGGCTCAAGTATTAGAGTTGCCTCTACCCACCTGGGAGACCCAGATTGAGCTTTTGGCTTCTGGATGTGGCCTGGTCCAGATCCTGCTGGGGTAGACATTGGGGAGTGAACCAGCGGATGGAAGATATATCTCTTTGTCTCTGTCTCTGCCTTTCAAGTACAGTGGGGAAGAAAATATAAGTAAAATCCTGCATCCACCAAAGGGGTACCAGATTGCCTGCCACATGGGATGCTGGGGAGTAGAGTGTGTGAGCTCAGAGGGAAGGTGGGCATCTCTTGTGTGCACCCCCCACCAGCCTGAATTCCAGTGAAGCAGACTGGTGCCTTACAGGGCGAAGTATTAACTTGATGCCAGCGTTGAAGCTGGAAGCTACATCTTTGTGGGGGAAGCAGCTTACCAGTGCCCCTCAATTGGTTTGTAGCAGAGCTGGAACCAGGCACTGAGGCTGGAGTATAGGCACCATCCATTTCTTTCCTTCATGTGAAATGAAACCACAAAGGGATATAAAGTGAGTATCTGCCACAAAGATTTTTTTTTTTTAAACTACTTATTTATTTGACGGGGAAGGTGGGTAAAAGGAGAGAGAAAAGCTTTGATCTGTAGGTTCACTCTCCAAATGACCACAACAGCCAAGTCTGGGTTGGGTTGTAGGAAACCAGGAGGCATCAGCTCCATTGGGGTCTCCCGCATGGGAGGCAAGCGCACAAGTACTTGGGGCATCTCCTGCTGCCTTCCTCAGTGCTCCGCAGGAAGCCGGATGGAAAGTGGAGTAGCTGGGATTCAGGTGGCATTCTTGCTGGTGTTGCAAGCTGCTTAACCTGTTGTACCCAACATTACCTCCTCCCCCTTTTTTTGCTCTTTTGTTGTTTCAAATTTAATTGTTAAAAATATATAATATAGGGCCCGGCGCAATGGTGCAGTGGTTAAGGTCCTCGCCTTGCACGCCCAGGATCCCATATGGGCGCCGGTTCTAATCCCGGCAGCCCCGCTTCCCATCCAGCTCTCTGCCTGTGGCCCGGGAAAGCAGTCGAGGACGGCCCAAAGCTTTGGGACCCTGCACCCGCGTGGGAGACCCGGAAGAGGTGCCTGGTTCCCGGCTTTGGATTGGCTGTAGCGCTCACTTGGGCAGTGAATCATCGGACGGAAGATCTTCCTCTCTGTCTCTCCTCTCTGTATATCCGCCTTTCCAATAAAAATAAAATAAATCTTAAAAAAAAAAAATATATATATATATATAATATAACCCCGGTTGACTAGGTAAAGATTGTTAAAATATAATAAAAAAAATACAAAAAAAAATATATATATAATATGTTGAGGCTGGTGCAGTGGTCCTGATCCAGATATATTTCTAGAACCTTCCTTACTCGGGTTTTTCTCCTGCCTTAGGTCCGAAGAAGCAGAGGGCATTTTGGATCCCCAGGAGTCGGAGAAGTTAAACTTTAACGAGAAGTGCACCCAGAGCCCTCTGCTGACCCAGCTCTGGGCCACAGCCGTTCTAGGATCGCTGTCAGGTTAGCCAAGCTCCAGTAAGAGTGAGTGGGCTCCTATCTGTCTGGCTGGGGTGTGCTGCTGGGTCCTGCTGGGCCCCAGTGCTGCTGGAATGCAGGCAGGTGAGTGGGCCATGGCTCTGCCCAGTCGGGCTAGGAAACTGGCCAAGTTCTTCACCTCTCAGAGCCAGCTTGTTGTGTCAGTCACACCTGCTGCCCATCCTGCCTTACTGGGACAGCCCTGGATTGTTTCTGAGAAATCTCAAGTTTCTCTTTCCAGAATGAAGCTGCCCAGAGTCCCCTTTTTTGTTTATTTAGCAAACATGGACTGGGGCCAGCCGATTGTGGGCTTGGCTCTGTGCAGCACGCAGGGGCTACCAAGGGGACCATGGCCTAGCCTCCTGTGTCCAGGAATTCCCACTTGGCACAATTCTAAGAAAGGTGGGGTTAGCAAGTGGATTCTCTTTTTCTCCGTTTTAACCTTTCCCCTACCTGGTCTTAAAATTGTGATGCAAGCTTGAGCTTACACCAGACTCCCGTGTCAGATGGTGCCTGCCAGTTCTCCTCTTGGTTTATGATTGGCAGGTGCTTATCGCATGCTTCCCAGCCTCCAGGGATTCCTCTATCCCCAGGAGTAGTCTGGAGGGTCCAGATAAGACCAGCTAGAAAGCGGTATGACCAGTGCTAGATGTAGCAACAAAACGGACCTTCATTCAGATCCTGCCACTAACTCAGTGGGTAATCTTGGACAACTCACTTCTGTGTGGGCGTTATTTCTTGAAACTTATCAGAGTTTCCAGGTGAGGTCAGTAAGTTTATAGAATACTTATGATATGCTAGGCACATCCCACGTGCTGTTTTGTTTAGTTTTCATGGCCACACTGCCCCAAGTCCTATTTTGGTCCCCATTTCACAGACAAGGAGACTGAGGCTCAGAGAAAGCTATTGCTTTGCCTGAGGTTGACACCGTGCCAGCAATTGCTATCCTGGCTGGGCAACGTCAGGGCTGAGTGGAGGGCCCTGGGAAACTCTGAGAATTCCTTCTGGCAGGCACAGAGGACATACGGATTGATGAGAGGACTGTCAGCCCCTTCCTGCAACTGTCAGATGACCGAAGGACCCTGACCTTCAGCACCAAGAAGTCCAAGGCCTGTGCAGATGGCCCGGAGCGCTTTGACCATTGGCCCAACGCACTGGCTGCCACCTCCTTCCATGCCGGCCTGCACGCCTGGGTGGTGAATGTGCAGAGCAGCTGTGCCTATAAGGTGGGCGTGGCCTCGGGCCAGCTGCCCCGCAAGGGTTCTGGCAGTGACTGCCGCCTGGGCTACAACACCTTCTCCTGGGTCTTCTCCCGCTATGACCGGGACTTCCGCTTCTCCCACAATGGGCAGCATGAGCCCCTGGAGCTGCTGCGGGGCCCGGCCCAGCTGGGCGTGCTGCTGGACCTGCAGGCACATGAGCTGCTCTTCTACGAGCCGGCATCAGGGGCAGTACTCTACACCCACCGCGCTTCCTTCCCCACGCCCCTCTTCCCTGTCTTCGCGGTGGCGGACCAGAACATTTCCCTCGTGCACTGACCTCTGGTCACAGAGAGGCCAGCTCCTCATTGCCACACCCTTTCAGGCACCTTTCTTTCCCTAAGGGTGCATGTATGTGTGGGGGTTGGGGCGGGGAGGAGCAGGGTGTGTAGCAACGGGATAAAGGTCATGCCCACTGGTTAGCTCTGGGAGGGGCAAGGAAGTGGCAGAACCAGGTACGATGCTTAAGTGCTGGGTGCCTGGAGGGGAATCTGCTACTTCCTGGGCCTCAGTCTTCCAAATTCAGTATGAGCCTGCTCCCCCCACCCCCACCCGAGGGTGTCTTGTCAACAACTTGATCTCTGGCATCCAGCAAGGTGCCTGATATGTAGAGTGCACAGTAAAAATGTAGTGAGTGAATGGGTAGATTGGTGGGTGGATGGATGGATGGATGGATGGAAGGGTGGAGGGCTGGCTGGGTGGGTGCGCAGTGACTGGCTGTACATGCTGGGCCCAGGGGAAGCACTGCCTTGAGCCCCTGCCCCAGCATCAGCACACAGAAGAGGTTGTCCAGCAGAAGCCTGAGGCTTTTTCAGTGCTTCTCGCTGTTTGCATGACATGCTCTAGCTCACAAGAACAATTTGAAAGGGGCTGTTCCTGGACACAGGACTGGCTTGGGAGATAATGTCCTCTGCATGCTCACCCAGCAGCATGTGCCCCTGACCTGGCAGCTGAGCTTCAGCCTGGGACCCCAGGGATAATTTTCCCCAGTAGAAGCTGAGTGGAGACCTCAGGCAAGCACTGCAAGCCAGACAGTTACAGACTGGCCTTAGGAATTATAGGTGTAATTTAAAGGTTTTTTTTTTTTTTTTAAATGCACCCTGGAATAGTGGTCTTCCAACTTTTATCCAGGAACTTTGTTCAATGGCAACATCACCTACAGCCTCAGGTTCCTGGGTTCAAGAGGGTGAGGGCCAGAGCCCTCCCCACTTTTGAAGGGTGAGTAGGGGAGACTCACAGCAATTTGAAAGCCTCCGTGTGGGGCTGGTGTCATGGTATAGCAGGTGAAGCACAGTTTGTGACACCTGCACCCCTTAACAGAATGCAAGTCTCTGCTGCTGTGCTTCCAGACTTCCTGCTTAGGGACCTGGGAAGGCAGCAGGTAATGACCCAGGTATGTGGGTCTCTGCTACCCAGCTGAGACACTCACTCAGATGTCATTCCTAGCCCACACCTGGGTGGTATGGCCATCTGGGGAGTGAACCAGCAAAGAGATGTCTCCCTGTTTTCTCTCTGTTATTATGTCTCTCAAATAAACAAATTGAAAAGAATCAAAGAAAGAAAACGAAAACCATTATTTAATCTGGAGAGGTCACAATGTAAAGCTGGCAGGGTCAGTGGTCACTGACTGAGTGCCCAGATGGGGACAATCATTATTGTGCCTCCATCACTTGTCTCCATGCAGGAACACAGACCCAGAGTGGCCAAGGATAAAGATCTTGAGAGATAAAAACTGAAAACAATCCTGATTTGCATCTGCACAGTCATTTCTTTGAAATACTGGACAAATAGCCATAGTCCACAGGACTTGGGAGAGCTTGGCACTGTGGTTACAGAATGGATGCTCGCATCCCATGTTGAAGTGCCTGGGATTTCAGCCCTGGCTCCATCCCTGATCCCTGCTTCTTGCTAATGTATACCCTGGGAAGCAACAGGGACTCATCCCACCACTAACATGGAAGACCGGGATTGTGTGCTAGGCTCCTGGCTTTGACCTGACCTAGCCTCAGCTGTTGTGCACATGTAGGAAGTGAGCCAGTGCATGGAGGATAAGTCTGTCTCTCCGCTTCCCAAATAAACAATGAAAATAAAGAGTGCCTATTAACAGCCACTTTGGCTGAAGTGACCTTGGAGGCCCTGGCAGCTGAGACCACACAACTTATGACCAGTGTCCTCACTGTGTGATACTCTAAAATTACTGTATCACTGGGCTGGGTGTCAAGCAGACAGACCAACAGGGGTTTGGTCAAGTCTGAATGCATATTCCTTGCCTTTGCCTGGGCAGCCACAGCCCAGCAGTTGGGATCAAAGTCAAACTCTTCTAATTGGCCATCTGAAGACCTCCATGCCATACTCCTCTCCAAGTCACCAGCCCAGTCCCTCCCACCCCTCTAGTGACCTTTGGTCTACAGTTCAGGGGCCTACTATAGAAATGTCCTCCGTCACCCCTCTGCCCTCTCAGCATCCTACCCCTGTGCCCATCCCTAGGTCAGGGTCCACACCAGGTTTTCTCCTGGCTGCTGGCCCCAAAATATACACAGTATGTGCCTGTGTTGCTTTTATCCCATGATATCCCCTGTGCCTGGTACTGGGCAAGGTACACATGTCCAACAGACACTAAGTAGGTGTGTGAAGGGGAGAGAGGCAGGCAGTTGCTGGCACCTGTCCAGTGGAGTTTGCCCAGATGCACACAGGGGGACATGACAACCAGCTCATCTAGGATAGCAGAGGACACGGAGTGCCTCAGCAGAGGTTGGAGAGCAGAACAGGTTGGACCACTCTCCTGGCCAAGCTCTGCAACATGTTCCTGGGTCTGTGGATGCACTAAGGTAGACTTGATCAGCCAACAGACCTTGGAAGGATTCTCTCAGTCCTTGTGCAGTGAAGCCAAGGACATCTCAGATCTATCAAAACTACTCAAGTAACACTTGTAGAACAATTCCCCACATCAGGGTTTCTAAGGTGTCGTCAAATGACTGTCTTCCATCCCTGGATGCTGACAGCAAGGAGTGATCCCCTCCCCTTCCCTACTGTAGACACAGGAGAAAAAAAAAAAAGAAAAACTGAAACATTTGTCCATACCTTGATCCACCCTAACCAGAGACCACAAGGGCATGCATCCCTCTCAAATATGTACATAATATTAAAATAAATAAGTAATTTAAAAGGAAGGGAGGAAAATAAATGTAATTGCAAAAATCTAACCTGTGCCTTTAATCTCTTTGCTCTCCCTACCTGACATTCCAGCTATCCACCCTAGGCTCCAGTCCTCCTCCCTTGGTGTCTTTCCTTGTCCTAGGATTTCCACTGTCTCAGGTGACAGGGAGCTTTGTGGGAAACCTGCGGTCAGGCCAATGGGCTCTGGAGGTCTGAAACTAGCTCACTCATTTGTAAAGTGGGGGCATCACACTTTTACCCCTTAGTAGCTCGGAGGGTTACGTATGCCTATACTGAGGTTAAGGGCAGGCCTAGTCAACCAGTGTTGGGGTGCTATTGTCTCAGACCTCCTGCTCAAGACTGTGGTGCTGTGGACAGGGTCCCCACATAGTCCAGCTTCAGCAACTTGAGGTTTTTTTTTTTTTTAAGATTTATTTGTTTTTATTGGAAAGATATACAGAGAGGAGGAGACAGAGAGGAAGCTCTCTCATCCGATATTCACTGCCCAAGTAAGCGCAATGGCCGGTGCTGTGCCGATCTGAAGCCAGGGGCCAGGAGCTTCTTCCAGGTCTCCCACATGGGTGCAGGGTCCCAAGGCTTTGGGCTGTCCTCGACTGCTTTCCCAGGCCACAAACAGGAAGCTGGAGGGGAAGTGGAGCTGCTGGGAGTAGAACCGGTGCCCATATGGGATCCTGGCACGTTCAAGGCAAGGACTTAGCTGCTAGGCCATGGTGCCAGGCCCCCAACCTGAGTTTTTCAAGGAGCCCTGACTTAAAGCATCCAGGGGGATGGTGTCTCAGGGGGCTGAATGAGTGCATTTTCTTAGGATTTCTGCTTCAGCTCTAACAGTGTCTGGGTTTTGGGGGGAGTTTAAAAAATCATCCCTTATCAAAGGACTCTCCTTGTGGCTAAAACCAAATTGGCCAATTCCTGGCTCCAAAGCTAGCTGGGCCCTTTGTGGATCTTGTGAGAGGTGAGGGAGACACATGGTGAAAGAGCAATGCAGGTGTGAGAATAAGCAAACAGAATCAAAGGGTAAGTAGTGGGCACTTACTGTTTATAGTCAGACTAGACTGTGCAGGCTGCAGGGAGAGGAGCAGAGGGCAGAAGTGTTGAAGAAAGAACGAGCTCCTAGTCGCCAAGGGCCTTGCATCCCTGCCCTCGCCAGACTCACAGCCCTGGAGTTGACCCCTCCAGACGGTCAAGGGCAGGCAGGAGATAGGCCAGGGAGGGCAGGATGTGTTCTTCAGGGATAGAAGCCTTGACCGTGGGGTCCAGGGGCTCTGGGCCAAGCACCAGGAAGCTGTGCATGCCTATTGCACGAGCCCCCTGGTAGTCACAGCGGTAACTGTCCCCAACGTGGGCTGCCACTGCCGGCTCCACGTGAGCAAGTCGCAAGGCCTCCTGGAAAATCCGAGGGTGTGGCTTAGGCTGGCCGGCAGCCTCAGAGGTCAGCACAAAGTCAAAATGTTCCCTCAGGCCCATCCCTATCAGAATGTCCTCCAGCCGCCGGTCAAAGTTGGAGACCACTGCCAGCTGCAGACCCCGCTTGCGGCAGCCCCGCAAGGCAGTCTCAGCCCCTTCCAACAGCTGCCAGTTGCCAGGGCTGGTATAGTCTTCATACATCTGCTCCGCAATGGTGGTCATGGCCTGGGCATCCCGGACACCTGCCAGGCGAAAGGTCTGCATGACCACATCTAGCCACCACCGGTGGGAAGTGAGGCCCTGGCTCAGGCCGTAGTTGGGGAAGCTCTGGCTCTGGGCCCTATATGCCTGTCCGAAGGCTTGTCCCAAGGCTGCAGCGTCCACCTTCAGCCCATGGGCTCGGGCCTTAGCAGCATAATCCTCTCCCACGGGGCGGCGGAGCCTGAGCAACGTGTCTTTCACGTCCCATGTCAGCAGCCGGATTTGCAGTCGGTGTGCCATGGTGAAGGCCAAGTCCGTGGCACAGAGGCCAGCTCAACTGCACGGGGCACTTCACTGCCACTTGGGAAGGTCTTCACAGCACAGGATCCTGAACGAGAGAAAGCAAGTGAGGTCGTCATTGCTGGCACCCTGATGCCAGGGAGATGAGGTCCATGATGGTGCTACCCACTGCGTGACCCCTAAAAAGGTCTCTCTCTGAATCCCCATCTTGGGTAAGAGGGGCAAAAGGGCACCAGCCCCCCAAACACTGGGCTAAGGGAGCTGACACCTGACACATACATCCCATGAACTGTCTGTGAGCACCACTAGGCACCAGAGGCTGAAGAACTGGACAGATTTCCAACCTCATGGCATTCACAGTCATGAAAGAACACGAGCAGGGTCAGAGAAGGGGCATAAAGGCTTACCTCACCACCTGCAATGCTGGCATCCTATATAGGCACCAGTTTCAGTTGCACCTGCTTCGCTTTTTTTTTTTTTTTAAGAATTATTTATTTTTATTGGAAAGGCAGATATACAGGGAAGAGATACAAAGAGAAGGATCTTTTGTCCGCTGATTCACTTCCTACATGGCCACAACAGCCAGAGCTGAGCTGATCTGAAGCTGGGAGCCAGGAGCCTCTTCTGGGTCTCCCGTGCAGGTGTAGAGTCCCATGGCTTTGGGCCGTCCTCGACTGCTTTCCCAGGCCACAAGCAGGGAGCTGAATGGGAAGCAGGGCTGCAGGACACGAACTGGCACCTGCATGGGATCCTGGCATGTGCAAGGCGAGGAATTCAGCTGCTAGGTTACTGCGCTGGGTCCCTGATTCACTTTCAATCCAGTTCCCATCCTGTGATTTGGGAAGGCAGCAAAAAGGCCCCAAATACTTGGACCCCTGAATGCACATGAAAGACCCTGATGAAGCTCTGAGCCTCAGATCGGCTCAGCTCCGGCCACTGTGCCATTTCAGGAGTGAACCAGTGGACTGTGGATCTCTCTCTCTCCGTCCCTCCCTTCCTTCTACAACTCTGCCTTTCAAAATAATAATAATAATAATAATGATGATGATGGTGATGATGATGAAATGTGAGATCCAGCTATCAGACAAAGCACAATGCAAACTCTTAATTAAGTCAGAATGTACCACGAGGATGTGAACCCAGAGACCCCATCCAGTCTTGGTTGTGAGAGATCTTCCCAAGCAAGTGAAGCTTTCAATGGAGAGGTAAAGAATGACTACGCGGGAGGCAGAAGTGGTGAGTGGAAACAGCAAGTGCCAAGGCCCTGGGGCAGGACAGAACCTGCTGTCTCGTGTAGGCGGGGACCAGCTCAGACAGCGCTTTGTGGGTCAAGGTAAGGAAACAATAACTACAATTGCTGTGGCTGTTACTAGCCATCTTGGGGGACCACCTCTGGCCAGCTGGTCAACATTCTGACTGTGAAAGAGGGAAGGCTGAGCCAGGCAAAGACAGAGACCTGTTGATTGTCACAACTGAGTCTCATCAGTGAAGCCAGGACTAAAACCCAGACATCCCCCAGACTCCCTGGCCACGGCTCCCTTCCACTGGACCATGCCCAATTAAAAAAAAAAGTAGATAGGTAAGTAGACAGACAGACATGGGTCTGGCATAATGGCTCAATTGGCTAATCCTCCCCCTGCAAGTGCCAGGATCCTGTATGGGCACTGGTTCATGTCCCAGCTGCTCCACTTCCCATCCAGCAACCTGTTTGTGGCCTGGGGAAGCAGTGGAGGACAGCCCAAAGCCTTGGGATCCTGCATCCATGTAGGAGACCAGAAGAAGCCCCTGGTTCCTGGCTCAGCTCCGGCCATTGCAGCCACTTGGGAAGTGAACCAGCAGACTTAAGATCTGTCTCTCCTCTGTAAGTCTGCCTTTCCAATAAAAATAAACAAATCTTGAGAAAAAAATCTGACTTCTCGCTGTCTCTAAGTTCCATCCTCTTTGGGTCCTCCTGCTCAGGAGGAGCTCCAATCAGAAGACTTCTGACGCGAGGCACAAGAAACAGCTTTCCAGCTTCTGGTCCCGGGACTGGATATGGCTTCTTTTGCCACCCAGAGCTGATCTGGGGCAAGTCCAGGCTGTCCCGCTGAGTCCAAGAGGCAAGGGTTCAGAATGCAGGCAGCCTGCTGCGAGAGAGGGACATGGCAGGTGAATTTGGCCATGTCAGGGAGATGAGTCTCCTGGGAGGCCTGACCAAAGATCCAGGTGGTCAGACGCGGGGTGCGGGGAAAGGGGTGGGATAGGGAGAAGTGGAAAGGTGCCCCAAATCACTCAGGGTGCCAGGGAGGCGGATGAAACCAGGACAAAGGGCTCCAATTTCTAACCCAGACGCTTTCGACTTCAAACAGCCGGGGTGGGAACCTCTGGGCTGCAGGCCTGAACGGTTCACCCTCCCTGCTCACCTCCTGGGCACGGTGGAGGCAAAAGTCCAGGTTGCCCGGAATTAACGCAGACTCTCCGCAGCGGCCATATGCATGAAGTGTGACCTGAGGCCGCAGGGTCCCAGGGACCGTGGACGCGGGGTGGTGCCTGGCTCGTGGGTGACGAGTGGCAGCGCACCCCTACGACGCGGCACGGGTCCCGGGCCCAAGACTCACCTCACCTGGCCGGCAGAGAAGGGGTGCAGGAAAAGCAGCGCGGTCCACGCGCGTGCGCCGGCCTTTTGCTGGGCGGGGTCACGTGGGCCGCGCGAGGCCCCGCCCCGCCCCTCCCCTTCCCGGCGCCTGTCCCCTCCTCGCGACCCTCACACTTTGTCGTCTTCCTTTAACTGGTCCTTTCATTACCCACACAAGGCCCACCCCTTACCCTCTTCACATCCTGCTTTTTGGCCCCGAGCCTCTCCCCCCCCCCGGCTCGTGGGTCACCATCCTCGTGTGCCCTCTTCGTCCTCTCTCCGACCCCCTCGATCTGCCTGGGATCAAGACGCCCCTGGGAGGAAGCTGGACTGATTAAGGCCTGCGGGGTATCCAAGCCTGGCTTGCAGAGTGCTCTGTGGACTTGTAGCAAGGTGCTGCCTCGCTCTGGTCTCAGAGTCCCAGAGGGATAGGAAGTCATTGCTTGTAAGGGAAGACCTCAGCCAAGACATGTTACTAATGGTGGAATCCTCTACAGTTACGAAGATGCAGGATTAATTTTTTTTTTGAGAGAATTGGATTTTGTTTGCACAAGTAATACATACTGGTCTCAAAACACTTTGAAAGTAAGAAAGACCATTTCAGGGCCCGGCGCGGTGGCACAAGTGGTTGAGATCTCATATGGATGCCAGTTCTAATCCCGGCAGCTCCAATTCCCATCCAGCTCGGGAAGGTAGTCGAGGATGGCCCAAAGCTTTGGGACCCTGCACCCACGTGGGAGACCCGGAGGAGGCTCCTGGCTTCGGATCGGCATAGTATCGGCCGTTGCGCTCAGTTGGGGAGTGAATCATCAGACGGAAGATCTTCCTCTCTGTCTCTCCTCTTTGTATGTCCGCCTTTCCAATAAAAACATAAGAAAAATAAAATCTTTGAAAAAAAAAAAAAAAAGAAAGAAAGACCATTTCAGAGACAGGTGGGTGCCGGGGAGAGAACAGATGTGAAAGATGAGGCAGCAGGTGCAGATCAAGGGACAACTACTCCAGCCCCAGCATGGTTCCTGAGTGGGACAAAGGCCATGCGGGCAGGCAGGGCAGTTGGCAGGAAAGCAACAGCAGGTCACAGAGACGGAGAGACAGAGAGAGCTTACACTGGCTCACAACCCAAATGGGTGCTACTCAACCGGGACCCAGGAGCCCTATCCAGATCTCCCACTCAGGTGGCTGAGCTCCAAGAACCTAAGACATTTTCTGCAGCTTTCCAAGATGCATTAGCAGGAACTGAAGTGGGCAGGACTGAAACTTGGTTCCTATGAGTGCAGGTGTCGTGGGTGGTGGCTTAACCCACTGTGCCACACCATACAGGAGCACACAGATATATATATATATATATAATTTCTCCAGTCTATTTTTCTATCCTTTGGAAAAAACCAAACCTCTTTGTGTCTCCCAAGGATGGATGGATCTCCTCATCGAGACCATCTCATCCTGGCTCCTTCAAGGCTGTAGGAAAACGCTGTGGTGTTGAACCATAACGACAACCTGGCTGTGGGGACACACCTGCCAAATGGAGTTGTGTAACAGGCCTACTCCTCAGAAGTGGGGACTGGCAGGTGCTGGGAGGCCAGAGAAGGCCATCTGTATACTATCTTTTTCAAGTTACTTAAAGCCTAGCCCTTTAAGCTCTGGGCCTGGATCTGTCACCTGATCCTCAGTGAAGCCTCTGTTCAATTATTTTCCTCACTCTCCCAATCTAAACAGTGGAGAGACTGGACAAAATAAGTTCCAACCTAAGTTCAGGTGAGTTTTTTTTTTTTTTAAAGATTTATTTATTTTTATTACAAAGTCAGATAGAGAGGAGGAGAGACAGAGAGGAAGATCTTCCGTACTATGATTCACGCCCCAAGTGAGCGCTACAGCCAATCCAAAGCCGGGAACCAGGCACCTCTTCCGGGCATACACACACCCCATGTGGCTAACCTATCAGCCCTGACCACTTAGAAGTAAATTTGTACATCAAGCTATCATTGCTTTAGCTTATTTGAACCTGAAGCCCAATACAGACAATGGCTATCAGGTAGGTGTTGCATCTTTGAAAAAGTGACACTTAAGGTGAGAACAGAGACACCTACAGACAGACACGGGAGCAAAGCATTCCAGGCAAAGCAATTACAGGTTGAAGGCTTCTGAGACCGTGTGCTCTGCAGATCTGGTCATCCATCTCCCACACCAACATTTACAGTGACCAGGCCAAAGGTGAGCCATGTGACTGGGGTAGGTTCCATCAGGTATGTGAATGGTGGGACAGAAAGCATCGTTCTCTTAAGGATCACTAAAGTCTCAAATTATTTGGGGGTTTTGCAGAAACTAGGTGGCAAAGCGAAAGTGATGCACACTGTGAGAGCCTTGACCTTGGATCCAGCCACATCTGTCATTATCAAAATCCGTGAGGAAAACCAGTCACTTCCTTTCCTGCCACCAAGTTGTAGGAAAATGGCCGAACATGCAGAACG